TGGGACACCACTTGTCACTGGTCTCCACTTGGACATTGAGCCATTGACCACAGCTCTTTCAGTGTGACCATCCAGACAGTTCTGTGTCCACCGAGTGGTCCATCCGTCAAATCTATTTCTCTCCAAAATGGAGAGGAGGATGTTGTGTGGGACAGTGTCAAAGACTTTGTACAAGTCCAGGTAGATGTCATCAGTTCCTCTTCCCTTATCCACCAATGCTGTGACCCCATCGTACAAGGCCACCAAATTAATCAGGCACAGTTTACCCTTAGTGAAGCCATGCTGGCCGTCACAGATCACCTCCTTGTTTTCCATGTGCCTTAGCATAGTTTCCAGGAGGATTTACTCCATGATCTTGTCATGCGCAGAGGTGAGACTGACGGACCTATGCTTCCCTAGGTCTTCCTTTTTTCCCTTTTTAAAAATGGGGTTATGTTTCCCCTTTTCGGGTCAGCAGTAACTTCCCCAGAGTGTCATGAGTTCTCCAGATACAATGGATAGCAGCTCAGCAACTGTGTCTACCATTTCCCTCAGGACCCTTGGATACATCTCATCGGTTCCAATGGACCTTCAGGTTCTTTAGATGGTCTCGACCCTGATATGCTCTTTCAATGTGTGGTTCTTCCAGTGTGTGGTTTTTCCTTCTCCCAGTCACTGACTTCAGCCATGTGGCTTGAGCACTTGCTGGTGAAGACTGAGGCAAAAAAGTTTTATTTTGCCAGATAAACGTTTGTAATGGGAATATTTTCAGCCCCTTTGCATAAACTGATTCTTACTCATCAAGGGATCATGACCAGTGGATAACTAAAAAAATTTGGAAATATCTTGGTACATGTTGGAAATGGAGAAGAAGGTGGCTACAGGTGAACCCAAGCTGGGTTACAGCTGGGATGAAGCAAGCATCAAAACTGCAGCGATTCAGGCCTTCAAATTCTGCTCTTTTGTATCTACAAGCAATTCCAAGAACTTTGTGGAACCTGTGGAAACACATGTGAGGGAAGAGTTCTCCCTGAAAGTATCAAGAGGTGTTTTGGGTGTTTTTTGTGTAATTAGTTACAGCTGCAGTGCTCTCAACCATACAGTAATTAAAACGCCTTAACAGTGTACTCCCTTTTTAACTGTTTCTCAATAAACGCTGATTTTCAGCAACAGTGTATCAGGAGTATTCCTATAGCTGTTTTATATATATTTACACTTTTCTCTAGAATGAGGTTGGATTTGTAAAATAATTAAGTTATTATTTAAATGAAGCTATCAGTGTAAGACTGAATCTGTATTTAAAATAATCCACATTTATAAAATTAGAAAAGCTGGTAAAAAAGTTAGATTTCTCTACCATGCATTTTTTCTTTTTTATAGAACTGTATGCTCTTATTTTCCAAACTTCCATGACTGCTACTGGTTCAGAGAGTAGATAGCTAGGGCTGTTAATTTAAACTCATGGATAGCAAATTCTGCATAGCAAGATTTACATGAAAGTCAGAATACAGTTGAATTCTTCTTTTCCTTTTTTTTTATTTCCTGAAAAGCTATATGTACATGTATACACTGAATTAATAAAGAGCAGATCAGAATAACAATCTCTTAATCAAAGGGAGGATGACTGCCTACAGTGAGACCATACGGATTGAGTTCACAACAACAGTTTCATGTTCAATGCGAGTTTTTATGGGCAAGCTAGATAAGCCTCACAAAGAAACTGCTTATGGAGAGTATCTTAACTATTGTAACTTTAGAACTCTTGCTTATTCCTCTAACATACTTGGAACATCAGGTAAACCACATTGTAGAATCCTAGAACAGAATCATAAAATAGTTTTGAGTTGGACCATGAAGGTCATCTAGTCCATTGTGGGCAACATGGGACAAATTACATTTCTGCAATAGCTCTTTAAATTAATACTCAAAAAGTATGTTGCTGCAATTAAATTTTTGATTAGAACTTCAGTGTTTATATGAAGGGAACAGAGAAGACTGGTCACAGTATGACAATTTCTTCTTATTGATTTTTTTGTTAAGACTACCTCTTTCCTTCCTTTTCCATTTTAAAGTGAAATGGGCTAATGTGTAAATGTGAACAAAGGAGAGGAAGAGAATGTGTCTGTAAAACTGAAATAGCGATGATGCTTGTACTGATATGAAAAACAATGTGAATTAACATAGTAATTTCTGATGCAGATAGCTTTTTATGAAAGCTCATACTGGATGAATAAATATTTACAAAGCTTGTATTCTCTGGTACTATTAAAAAATTAACATATTTAGAGAATAAGTTTTATGTTGTCTCATGTCTTAGAAAATGTGGTGTGCTTGCTATTTATGTTCTGTGGTTTTTTAATAGGTCACAACTATGGATATTTCATCTAACAAAGATGAGGAAGAAAACTCAATGCATAATACAGTTGTCCTCTTCTCTAACAGTGACAAGTTCACTCTCCATCAGGTTAGGATAATAGTTACTGTACTTTCATTTTGCTTCTCTGCTTTTAATTAGAAAAAAATAAATGAATGTCCTCGTTGGGAGTTAAATTATACAGCAAGCTAGTTGGATTTTACAGTTACATGTTTCCAGAATTTAGTGTCTGACATGTTGAAGATCTGCTCTTTTCTGTCATTTCAGGATATGTGCGTAGTCTGTGGGAGTTTCGGCCAAGGTGCTGAGGGCAGGTTGCTTGCCTGTTCTCAATGTGGTCAGTGTTACCATCCATACTGTGTCAGTATTAAGGTGAGTGCTTTTGTTACATAAAAAAAAATTACTTGATTACACTGTTTTTCGTATGGGACTTTAATAGCACTATGCTGCCTTTGGTTTTGTGGTAATTAGGGGAGTCATTAGCTTATTAGATGTTCAGCTGCTAATGTGACCATTATTTGTATGTGACTCGTGAAAGACTTCAATTAAATGTCGTTTTATAGTATGCATTACTTCAAGAGAAATTAACCTTTTTGTAATTTTGCCACCATAAATAGCACTACTTATCCCACAGTTGGTTAAAATAACAGTTTGAGATATAAGCTTAAAACCTAAGTACAAGCAGAATTAAAAATAAAGAAAAAAAAATTTACTGCATCTTCATTTACTATGGATATAAGGTTTAGTTGATTCAGTTTGCCTGCTGCCTGTCAGAATTGACAGCAGTTGGAGTGGTTAATTAATACTTTTTACATTCATTAGTCTAAGAGAGAATGTGTGAAAATTAAATTTGAATGGTATGAGGTGACTTAGCAAGCACATAATAAGCTATTTACTGCAGTAATACAGTATATGTTATGTATTGTTTGTTATATAAGTACATCTGTGTAAAAGTGGGATTTTTTTAAAAAATTCACCAAACTTTATTTGAAAGGTACTTTACAAAATGCCATATGCGTATTTCATGCAACTGTAATTTGTCTTTGTGTTTATATACTCCTCATGTTATATATTAATTGCAATGAATTAGTTGTTTGCTTCAGATGACTAAAACCCCAGCACTGGTTATCACAGATAATTTAGGAAAGATACAGGATTTTTAGTGACCTGAGTTTTTGGCTTTACTGCATAGCTGAAAAAAAGCAGCCATGTCTTCTCCTGCATCTCTACAGGACCAGCTTCTCCTATAAGGAGTAAACTGTTCTACATGTCGATCCAGTGCTGTATATATTCTCTGGTATGCTAGTCTATCCAAAGAAATTATATTCTGGAAGAGTATCAGATGTCAGTAATTACAGTTGTTTTCTGTTTAATCCTTTCCTATTTACTGAAGCTTCAGAAGGTCTAATTGATAAACAGCTACTTGTGATGTGGATAGTGCACAGAAGAGCATCCCGTGCTCTAGCCAAACCTTAATTTATCGCATTTCATAGAGCAGTTTTCAAATAGTTTTCACTGTGCCATTTGCAGATTACTAAAGTGGTGCTTAGCAAAGGTTGGAGGTGCCTGGAGTGCACAGTGTGTGAAGCCTGTGGGAAAGCGACAGATCCAGGAAGACTGCTTCTCTGTGATGACTGCGACATCAGCTACCACACGTACTGCTTAGATCCGCCCCTGCAGACAGTTCCAAAGGGAGGCTGGAAGTGCAAATGGTGTGTTTGGTTCTGGGCTCAGAAATATTGACCGCTGGCCTCTTTTGTTTATTTTTGTCACTTTTTATTTACAATGTCAATGAACTGTAATAGTGTTTTAGTTGTATTTAAGTCAGGTGTACTAAACAAAGCAAACAGTATTTTTAAATTGCTTCATTCAGTTATCAATTTAATAGGGAAACTGTTTATCTCCTCTTAATAGTGTCTCTTCATGCCAAAAATCATGTAAGTGGAAGTGGACAAAATTTTTCTTTTTAAATTCTCAGCCAAAAAAAAATCCAGTTTGCATTCATTGGAATGTTTATTCCAACATTCGGTTGGAAAAATGAATAGGCACTTTAACAAATTGTTTTCAAAATAAAACCCTCTGAAAACCATTCATGTTACTTGGATGAAACACAAATAGAATAGACCTCTCAAATTATTACGTCTCCGTATCTCAAAGTGAATGGCAACTGGAAGCAGGAACTCCTTTGACCTGTTGAGCTGTTACACCCATCTGCCTGTTTTTGCAGATTGAAAGGACTTCTTACTTAAGAATTTTCTTTAAAAGTATAGAAAAATGTTGGTAGAGTTCAAAATCTAAATAGTACATTTTTGTTCAATTAAAATACTGTTTGACCTGAAATGAGTTTCCTTCCCCCTTCCCCTCCCTCCTCAAAGTGGTTAGTGGTCTAAAACCACAAAGTAGGAGGGTTTTAAAGCCACAGAATAATCTTCCTGTGAACTGAGAGTAATAGATCATTTTGTCTGTTCTGCAGGTGTGTTTGGTGCAGACACTGTGGAGCAACTTCTCCTGGTTTAAGATGTGAATGGCAAAATAATTACACACAGTGTGCTCCCTGTGCAAGTTTGTCTACCTGCCCAATCTGCTATCGCACTTACAGGGATGAAGAGCTTATAATTCAGTGTAGACAATGTGATCGGTAAGGATTTTATAGGTTTTTTCCTGTTTAAGGCTTGTTTTAATTTTTTTTCCCCTAATGTAAAAGTGTAAAGATGAAGGCAGTGGTCTTGTGGTAAAGAGTACTGGATTGAGTCTCGAAAGTCCCTTATTAGTTCATTCCTAATTATACCACAGACTTAATTGTATGACTCTGGACAAATTAATTGATCACTCTGTGCCTCATTTCTCCCCTGTGTAAAAATAAAACTAATTTACCTTGCAAGACTATTGTTGTGAGACTAAATCTAGTTTACATAGTATCAAGTAAGCAGTTAAAATTATTGAAATATAGGGAGAAAATTTTGCTACTAAAGACATATTTGCTTCCAGGACACTATTTAAAAGAGAGTTCTTTCCTGCGAAGGGAAGTCTGATACTGTATATACAGTATTTAACACACACCACCATAGGGGAGTGCTATATATGGACAACCTGATTCATCATTTCTCCCTAAAAGAATTTAAACTAAACAAATATTTCAAATTTACTTGGACCATATACTGATATTTGGGTCTCCTAAAACACCACATATTTCCTTTAAATTGTATTTTTTCCCCCACTTAATTTCTAGATGGATGCATGCAATCTGTCAGAACTTAAACACAGAGGAGGAAGTGGAAAACATAGCTGATATGGGTTTTGACTGTACCATTTGTAGGCCATACATACCACCAACAAACGGTAAGAAGACAATTGAAACCAATGGCAGGATTGCACACTGCAATAAATAGGTTTGGGAATGCGTAACAGTTCTTTTCTCTGCTAGAGATTTGGCTCATGATAGAAGTAAGTTTTTGTTGGGTTTTTTTTTTTTTAACATTTATTTTGAAGGCCCTCCTGGAAATGTCCTCATCTCTTTCGCACACTCTAGTGATTGGCTGCAAGGCCAAGGAGAACCTAGCAGGGGGAATTCTGGATGGATTTATTAAAGATAATTTGGGTGAACAACTAAAAGCATTTGATATTGAAAGGGTAGAAGGCATCTCACCTTGTCAAGTGGAAGGAAGAAAGCCCAGTTCTCTAAAGTTACTAACTGCGGAAGAATCTGAAAATTGATTCTAAGCAGAACAACTTTCTGTATTTCAATACATTGAGGCTGCCTGAAGCAGCAGTAACTGTAACAGCAGTCCGTATACTCATTTTTCCCCTCCTCCCTCATGTTTTATTAATGCCACTCCCTCAGTTCTCCCAGTATTTTAGGACCAGTACTTCCCTCCCTAGCTGCAGTCTTTAAAAGAACTCTCCATACATTCCT